CACGCTCCCTACGCACCAACAAGCAAAACCGAACAACCTCTGAGTGTTAACATAAAGCGCGATTAGTTTTAATACTCGCGAACAAAAAGAAAACAAGCAAACATCCATGAACATTTCCACGCGCAGGACCTAAAGGAACCGAGCAAATATCCATGAACATTGCCCCACTCGGGACCTAAGAAAAACCGAGCCACCTCTTCATAGCAACATGCAAGATCCATCAAATATACACAACAAGAAAAGTACTCGGTTATTGAACCCAAACCGAGCAAATAGCCATGAACACACCCTGCTCGGTACATAAGAAAAACCGAGCAAATAGCCATGAACACACCCCGCTCGGTACATAAGAAAAATCGAGCAAATAGCCATGAACACACCCCGCTCGGTACATAAGAAAAACCAAGCTCCGCTGGCAACAGGCAGGACTCATCTAGCACGCTCAATAAACAACCCATTTGGTGGTCTAGAATAACCGAGCGAAGCCCAAGAGTCGCAATGCATGAAAAATCCCCGACATATATATCGAGCAAACATATAAATATCTATATGCTCGGTACATGCATCCGCGGCGAGACCCCACATAGCAGCCTGTTCGGTAAATATCCAAAACCGAGTCAGTAATCCCGAGGTCATCCAATCCAGCTGAATACACATGACGAGCGACCTATTCGGTTGTTAATATAGAACCGAGCACGCGCACAAGTATCGCCATGCGCGCAAAATTCTTGACGATCAACTCTGTTGCTTGTTTACATAAAACCGAGCAAACACCCGATTATCTACATGCTTTTAAAATTCTCAACGAGACCTGTTCGTAGGCATACATGACCGCCGTGCCATCAATCTCATTCAGCTTCAAAGCAATACTGGGTAGAGTAACCTGCTCGATATGTACCTAAAATCGAGACAATAAGCTTCGGTCACCCAATGTGGTCTGGCAACAAAACTAAGCCAATACCGGAACATCATCCTGCTCGTATCGAGACCGTCACAACATTTGAACAACACGTGGGCGTACAAAAACCCCAGACCCGATTCGTCACACCCTTTGAACAGCACCTGAACTCATAAGAGCTCGGTCTTAAGCCGTTACACCCTTTGAACAGCACCCGAACTCACAAGAGCTCGGTCTTAAGCCATTACACCCTTTGAACAGCACCCGAACTCACAAGAGCTCGGTCTTAAGCCGTTACACCCTTTGAACAACACCCGAACTCACAAGAGCTCGGTCTTAAGCCTTTACACCCTTTGAACAACACCCGAACTCACAAGGGCTCGGTCTTAAGCCGTTACACGCAACTTATTACAACTAGCAATTTATACGCAACGCAAGAAGAAAAGTCCATTGGAAATTAGCTTCAAAATGTAACGAGAACCGATCCTAATTAACGTTTATTTAAAAACCCAGATAACAATCCAAAACACAAATCAAGGTGAACTGTCCCTTGTTGCAACGCAAAATAAAAAAAAAAAATCTTTTGAAAAACAACTCGAACTATACCCTTAGCAAATGGGCAAGTCAAATTACCAATATGCCGATACCCGCCTAGCAATAATACCTCATAAGATTAGAAATATTCCAGGGTCTAGGAAAGACCTTACCATCTGGATCTTTTAGCTCATACGTCCCTCCCGCAAACACTTTCTGAATAATGTATGGCCCCTCCCAATTTGGTTCCAATTTACCAACATGTTTCAAAACATCAGCTCTCCTCCAAACAAAATCACCTACCTGGAACTGCCTCTCTTTTACCTTCCTAGCATGGGTTAGGCACATCCTCTGCTTATACTGCATGGTCTTCAACCAGGCTTGGTCTCGTGCTTCATCAACTAGCTCAAGTGCCTCCTTGACTAACTCCTCATTTTCGTTTGGTTCAAAAGTAGCTGTCCTTTGAGAACTAAGGCCATTCTCCACTGGGATCACCGCCTCCATCCCATACACTAGGTGAAAAGGCGTTTCTCCTGTCGTGGATCTTGGCGTGGTTCTGTATGACCAAAGCACAGTGTCAAGCTCATCTACCCATGAGCCGGAAGCTCTGCCAAGCCGAGTCTGCAACCCACACAATATGGTTCTGTTGGCTACTTCCGCCTGCCCATTTGCTTGAGGATGTGCCACCGACGCGAAGTGCTGCTTAATGCCCATCTCTTCACACCAGGCCATTATCTTCTTTCCTCGAAATTGGGGGCCGTTGTCAGAAACTATGACCCGCAGAATACCATACCTGCAACAAACATTAGTGAACATGAACTTTATGACCTTCTCCTCAGTTATCTTGGCCATTGCCTCCGCCTCCACCCATTTACTGAAGTAATCCACAACAACTAACAGGAACTTCCTTTGTCCAGAACCTTGTGGGAAAGGCCCCACTATGTCCATCCCCCACTGAGCAAAAGGTAAAGGTGAACTCATCGGCATGAGCTCTGTCGCGGGGACATGTATGAGTTGCCCGTGTTGTTGGCAATTGATGCACTTCTGGACCAACTCTCTTGCCATAGCTCTCATCGTTGGCCAAAAGTATCCAGCTCTCAGCACCTTGCCCACTAAAGCTCGCGCCTTAACATGGTCTCCACAACAACCTTCGTGAATCTCCCTTAACACATAATCTCCCACCTCTTTGGAAACACACCGCAAATGAGGCCCCAAGTATGACCTCTTATAAAGTACCCCCTCCTGAACAAAGAACCTTAATGCCCACCGGCCCAACTTATCGCCTCGTACGTCCTGCTGCCCCAACTTTGCTCGGTCTAACCAGCTTAAGATAGGACTCCTCCAATCTCCTTTTTCTTCCAACTCTAGCACACCCCCCAAGATACTAGATCCCATCTGCATCAAAGTTATTGAGCGTGACTTGCAGTCCACTAGTGAGGTTGCCATTTTAGACAACAAGTCAGCTCTCTCATTCGCTATCCTCGGTATCTGCACCAGCTGGTACGACTCGAAACTCTTAGCCAATGCTCGTGCCTCCTCTGCATACTTTAACATCCTATCTTCCTTAGCCTCGTACTCTCCCTTCGTCTGCTCAACCACCAACTGGGAATCTGAGTGGATGACAACCTTCTTAGCTCCCGCACCTGCCACCAACTGCATTCCCTTCAACAATGCCTCATACTCTGCCTCATTGTTCGAGGCTCGAAAAGTAAGTTTCACTGCAAACTCGAGCGGCTCACCTCCCGGTGGAAAGATCAGAACCCCGACGCCAGCTCCTAACCTTGTGGAAGACCCATCAACATAGACTTCCCAAACACCTGGCTCTTCTACACACATTGTGCCCTCATGAATAAAGTCTGTCAATGCTTGCGCATTGATAGCCCTTCTCGGCTCGAAACTGACATTATACTCTCCCAATTCCACTGCCCACTTCACCATTCTTCTCGAGGCTAATGGCCTGCCCAATGTTTCCTTTAAAGGGAAGTTAGTCCGCACCATGACCTCATGTGATAGGAAATAAGGCCTCAACTTCCTAGCTGTAACTATAAGAGCTAGGGCCGCTTTCTCTACCTCAGCATACTTCAATTCTGCACCCTGCAACAATCTACTCACATAATAGATGGGCTGCTGCCCCCCTCCTCCTTCCTTCAACAAAACTGAACTAATGGCCACCTTACCAACAGAAAGATATAAGATCAGTACATCCATCGGGTCCGGTTTAGTGAGTAAAGGTAACTCAGCAAGAAATTCCTTGAGTTTAAGAAAGGCCTCTTGTGCCTGCGTAGACCATTGAAAAGGAGCACCCCGCCGGAGAGCTCGAAAGAAAGAAAAACTCCTCTCCGCCGCATGAGCTATGAATCGGCTGAGCCCCGCCAAACGGCCCGTGAGAATCTGCACCTCTTTGATGTTCCTAGGCGGTTGCATCTCAAGCACCGCCCTCACCTTCTCCGGGTTAACTTCTATGCCCCGTTTTGTAACCATGTACCTCAGGAACTTCCCCGACTTCACCCCAAACTCACATTTTGCCGGGTTAAGTTTCATCCTGTACTTCCTTAATGTCTCAAAAGTTTCCTTTAAATCTCCCACATGATCATCTACTCTCCGGCTCTTAACTAACATGTCGTCCACATAGACTTCCATGTTCCTACCCAACTGTGCCGCAAACATCTTGTCCAATAATCTTTGATACGTTGCCCCCGCATTCCACAAACCGAAGGGCATAACTGTATAGCAATAAGTCCCCTTAGATGTAACAAAACTTACACGCTTTTTATCTTCCACCGCCAGGGGTATCTGGTGGTATCCTTATGAGGCTTCCATCATGTTCAGCAACTCACAGCCAGCTGTGGAATCCACCAATTGATCAATGCGCGACAATGGATAATGATCCTTCGGGCATGCTTTGTTGAGATCTCTGAAATCCGTGCACATACGCCACTTATTCTCCACCTTCTTCACCATGACTTGGTTCGAGAGCCACTCCGGGAATTGGATAGGCTGGATGTGCCTAGCTTGCAACATCTTCTCCACTTTCTTCTCAACCACTGCGTCCAATTCTGCTCCAAAGTGCCTCCTTTTCTGCTTGACGGGCCTCATCCTAGTATCAATATTCAACCTGTGCTCTACCACCCTGGGATCGATGCCCACCAACTCCCCTGGGGTGAAAGCAAAAATGTCGACATATTCTATGAGTAATGCCACCAACTGCACCTTAATGTGCTCTCCCAGCTCCATCCCCATCTTGGTTACCTTCTCTGCCTCCCCCTCCACCAGGGTTATCTCCATTAGCTCGTCCTGCGGAACCATCTCAGTTCTGGCCTCCTTCCCCCTACTCAAACTCTCCTCCCTGACTTTGCTCGAGCTCTCCTCCCTATTCTTCCTTTTATGACCCGCCTTCAACACCGTTTGGTAGCAGGTCCTAGCCAGTCGCTGATCCCCCGTAACTTCACCCACCAATTCGCCCACCGGGAACTTCATCTTCATACAGTAGGTTGACACTGCTGCCTGAAACAAGTTCAAGCTCGGTCATCCCAAAATAACATCAAGCCGACTCCGCCTCAACCACCACAAATCGCACCATCTTCACTTTCCTCAAAGGCAGAGCCCACAATGCCATTAGCAATTGCACCTCCCCAAGGGGCACCACCTCCGCCCCGCTGAAACCAAACAATGATGTCTTGATTGGGGTAATCTCGATACCCAAGTCCATCTGCTGAAAGCATTTATAGAACATGATATCCACAGAGCTACCCGTATCCACAAGAACTCTCTCCACATCATAACTTGCAATCTCTATCGTCACCACCAAAGCATCATTATGGGGTATCAGCACTCCACGAGAATCCCCTGCGCCAAACCTTAACTCCGGCATTGTGTGGTTATGCTGGACCACCATCACACTCTCCCAGTCCGCCCTTAAGTTAGCTCGCCGAGCTCCATTTGAATCCCCATCTGTGGGGCCCCCCATCTATCATGTGAATCACTAACCTTTTAGGAGGCCTCTCCCCTTGCTCCTCTTGCTTCCTCTTCCTTTCCCCCCCATCTGTGTCATTCCTTTTCTCACTATCTTGTACCAAATATTCTTTCAAATGTCCAGCCCTTATTAGCCTTTCGATTTCACCCTTGAGCTCTTTACAGTTATTCACCCAATGCTCGTAGTCATGATGATACCTGCAATAAGGGTCGCCCTTTACTGGCACTCTGCCTGACTTCTTGGGTAGGGGTTGAGGCTTCCCCAATAACTTAGTCTCCCCCCTCCTTTCCAACATCTCAAATACCTACCCTCTGGGTGACGTCAAGGGAGTGTAATGCTCATATTTGAACCCCAGGCGCCCCCTGTCATCACCCCTATGTTCCCTATTTCCTCACCTCCTCTCATCCTGTTTGTGTTTTTCCTCCGGCCTCTTCCCCCTAGCGCGCTCTTGCGCCAAGAAATTCGCCTCAGTTTCCTCCATATTCATATATTTAGTACATCTCTCTAATAGCTCGTCATAAGGCCTAGCAGGCTTCTTGGCTAAGGAGTTCCTGCAATGACCTGCCTTCAACCCTCGCGTGAGTCCTGCTGCCTTAATCTCCTCCGTAGCTGTAGGCACCTCCAAACATGCCCGCGTGAACCTGACCACATATTCTCTAAGAGACTCATTCTCTCGCTGTTGGACATTCATCAGTGACATATGCGTCTTTTCGTGATTCCGTGTGCTGGAGAATTAATTAATAAACAATGTGCTAAACGCATCAAAACTGTAGACAGATCTCGCCGGCAATTGATGGAACCAATCCTGAGCGGAGCCTTTCAAGGTAGTCAAAAAGGCCCTATAACAAACACCATCATTGTATCAATGTAAAACAGCCACATTTTTAAAACTCCTCAAATGTCTGGCTGGGTCGGAGGACCCGTCATAATAGATGCTTGGCTCTCTGAAGTTCTGAGGCAAATCGGCACCCAAACATCATCCGTAAATGGGTGACCTTACATCCTGGGCTCCCGCCTACCCTCCACCCTAGCTTCGAGTTGCTTGATCTGGTTCGCCATCTGTTCCAAAATCACGTCTCTAGGCGGCCTATGGACCATCGGTGACATCACCGACCTCTCCTCTGGCTCCTCCCTCCGATGACTAACACCTCTGAGCAACCTCGCCGTCGTCGGAATATGCTGGCCTACCCCTCCAGTGTGCATTCATCCCGGTTGCCCCATCACCGGCTCTGGTTGTTCCCTCACCGAAGCTGACCTTTCCACCAACACAACTGCCCTCTCCAACGCAGCGGGCCCCTCCATTGCCACACCTGGTCTCTCCGTTATCACAGCTGGTCTCTCCGCTATCACAGCTGGTCTCTCCACCATCGCGACTTGAGTGCGCGTCTCCAAAGCCTTGGTGACCGCCTCCGCAATGAGACGATCTAGTTCCGCTCTGGTCAACCGCGTCTCAGGCGCACCTCCCCCCTGTGCAACTCCTGAGCCGGGCGACTGTACCCCCACCTCTTGGTTCTGCCCTTGGTTTGTTACTCCCTGCTCTGGCTCCGGTGGCGGGGTCTGGTTTCCCACTGGCAACGCCGTTCGAGTGCCAACCTACGAGTTCTCTCCCGCACTCCATCCAACCGGCGGTCCCCCTCCGTAAGGCGTCTGCACCACCCATGCCTCCTTCAAACTCGCACCCAAGTTCCTTCTCAACTGCTCGTCTCCGCTCATCTTAATATCTGAGTAGTCCCACAGACAGCGCCAATTGTTAACGCTTCCACGTCCCAACCCGATTCTCTTCCGGTTCAAGCACTCAAAGACCTGCAATAACGCCGGGAAGTGGTCCCGGCGGTAAACCTCCGACGCTCAAGTCAGTAAGGAGTAGAAGAGTATGAGAAAGTCGTATGTAATTGTAAATAGGGTTAGGGTTTTGTAGAATGTGTTCCCCTTACCATCTTCTCGAGTCATCCATTTATACCTGATTTGTTAGCTTCTACATCACGCTTGCTCTCTCCATCATCCGATAGATCTTGTCTTCTCTCATCCTTAATCTACACGTGTCCCTTACGCTCTCATACTACCCGCTCAGCCCCATCCTCTCCTGGGCCATATCACTTAAGTTCTTACATGGGCCAAGCAGATGATGCTTCAACCGAAATGGGCCGAACAGCTTATATTCATAAAGGGCTGAGCAATCCCTACTTAGTGGGATTACTTTGTGAATTATTGATGAAACTGGGCCTCTAAAATCCTCCTCGAACAGGACCACCTTACAAAAGACCGAACTGTTATAAAATTGAGTCGTGTATCTGCCAGGTGAACCACGTCACTCTTGTATGCCATATCAGTGTACATTGTTCCATTTTCCAGTTATATGAACCTTAACTACAAAAATACGGACCGGTGAAAATTAATGGTTACACTAGAGTTAGTTTAGTTAAGACATGCAAAGTCCAAGTGCCTGCATATATATATATATATAGGTAAGGGATCATATGAGAATAAAACTTGGTGAAAGAAATAAGAATGAATATTAACCACAAGATCCATCAATTTAATGGTCTTGATCAAGTCATATTCTGGTCAATCATTAATGGCAGTATGGTAAATAAACACACATTGTGGTCAAATATAGGTATTTGACCAATTATTAAGGGTATGTTAGTAATTGTAAATCAATTCATCTCATAAAGTGGGACCCACCACAAACCACCCACATTTATCTCACCTTCTCTCTCACACACGCAACAACACCTACATCTCACACGTACACACACACCTGCTCACACACACACACACACACACACACACACAAAGAGAGAGAGAGAATTGCACAGACTTTGGCCATGAAAGAGACTCGTCGTGGCGACGATGGATGCGAGGCGACGTGGCGGCGGGCGGAGGCGAGATGACACTGCAATGGAAAGAGTATAGATGACGGTCGCGGC